GAACCAGAGGCATCGGGCTTTGTGGTCTCTGCTCTTCTCATCAGCAGGCAGGAACTTCAGCTCTTCCAAAACAAAGGAGCAGTGGCTGCAGGAGAGGGAAGGGGAGTTCAGCTCCACAAAGAGCACCTCGCTGCTGAGCACATAACTATCCCCCACGTTCCCCAAGGCAGGTGTTGCTCAGCCATGCCTGGATCACACGTTCCCCTCTGCCCCAGGGCAGCTCTCGTGCCCCCAGTCAGGACATGGCCCTCAGCAGCAGCATTACCTCCTCTCCTCTGCCTTCTTGGCGATGTCCTCCGCGGTGGCGCTGGCCAGGGCAGCTGCTGGCACCCGCAGCGCCTCGTACTCGGTGGGGGACAGGACTGGCAGGGCTTTAAGGAAAAGAACAGGCCTGGGCTCTCCCTTCCAGGGACAGCAGCCTTTAACAGACTGTGGCACAACCCAAGTCACTTCTGCATGGCCAGCCTCACCACTATTCCCAGTGGAACTGCTGCCAACAGGGAGAGAATCCTGCTCAGCACAGAATTACCCTGCTCCCAGCTTTTGGGTTGTGAGAGGTGAAGGCTGGGCTCACTCCCAGATGGGCACATAGAGGTTTACAGACACGGGAAACCCCTGTGACCAGGAAAAGATACTGTCCTCGAACTTGTACACGTGCTCCGGCCTGTCGGCATCCTCGTGGCATGGCGGGAGGAAGGCAGAGATGGTCTGCACGTCATCCTGAGCCACATCCTGCATCAGAGCTTGGGAGGGAAGCAGGAGGGGAGTGTTTGGACTGTGCAAAGCAAAATGCAGAGAACAGGAACATAACCCAAATCCTCCCTTTAGACGCAAGTCTACTTAATGGTGTCTCTTGGGTCAACACCAGTTTAGTCACAGCTGGAGCTTTAAACATTTAAAACTTCTACCAAGAACCTTCTGCTCCTTAAAATTTAGAAAAACCATTCCAGACTAGAGAAACATTTAGGAAAGAAGGGCACCAAGATGTCTGGCTGCTGCTTGATGGGCAGAGCACAGTTTTGGCACCCTGGGCTCCAGCGAACACCTACTTGGCACAAAGCAGCTCTGGAACCACTGTCAATATTCACCCCAGAACAAAAGGGATGAAAGCTACTGGGTTCTACATTCAACAGACACCTCTCTTGTGCATGCCAATGACACTCAGGATCCCAGAAGTGCTCTGGAGGGCTTCTGTCCGCCCTCCTGCTCAGCATAGGGGTGTCCACAGCACAAAGTTAGGGCAGCCACAGCTCTGTCCTGCCACAGCCTGGAAACCCCCCGAGATGGTAACCCTGCACCATGCTGTGACCTGTCCCAAGGGCGCAACAGTCTTTGAGGTAAGTCTGTGCCATTTTCCACAGCCATGCCACTGAGCTCAGACCAAGGTCACTGGCTTTATCCCAGTGAATGCATATCCAGGCATTCCCACAAGAGCTCCCAGTAATGGGCAGGATGAACACTGAGGTCACAGGGCCTTTCCTTCATTCAGGCAACTCCCACACCAAGACTAGCAGGAGCAAAAGGAAGCCGTTCCCTCATATGTGCCTTTCTCAGCTGTTAGACCAGCTGCTTCTTCAGTCACTCCCCACTTGGCAAGGACAGGAAAAGGCCCTTCAGGCTGCCATCCTTAAACACCGAGACAGAATCCTCTCACCTGTCACTCCCTTTGCATCTATAATGTTTGCTGCTGCTTTTGTCACAGCTGTGCTCACGATGTCGTTGCCCACAGCGTTCATGCGCCGAGAGCTCAGCGCTCGCTTCTGCTTGCTGGTGCCAAAGGCCTCGATGCACAAATCCACCTGTGCAGGAGAGACACACATTAAAGCACCCTGTGCACCCAAACCCCATCATTCATTCCACAGCCACATCCTCTAATAAAACTTCAAACACTTCACAGGGCAACACCTGCGTGTGGAGGTGCTGGTCTGCGAGGGGCAGGAAGCTCCTGGGATGGTGATCCTGCCTAAAATAGCCACGAAAATACTGCCAAGTCAGGCATTAACTGTACTGCCTCCAGGGCACAGTGACAGTGCTGCACCTGCAAAGGTTTACCCTGGAGGACACCAAACACCCCAGCCTCACACAAGCATCACCTGCCCCTGTTGGCCGGATACTCACAGCAGAATGTGACATGGGGTTTCAACTTTACCTTTTCCCTGTAGGATTTTTTCTGATAATCCTTTGTGTCATCAGGTATCAAGTTATCTATAAAAGAACAGAAGTTAGTCTGCTTGGATGGCAGCAACCAGGACAGGAATGCCTTAAGTGTGACTGACAGACTTGGCACATCACATCAGGATCAATTCCACAGGGCTTGGCCACTTAAAGAACACATCAAATATGAGAACCTAGAACAAAAAAAGAGTTTTTGCTATAAAGCCTATGGGTGCAATGGAGTGTGGCCAATTGGGTGTGGCTAAACCCAGGTCCTCCTTCACAGAGTGAAAATCAGCCCTGAAAGACCTGATCCTTTGGGTTACCCTCCTGGGTCCCGTGAAAAAAACTAGTTCTGCTGAAGACAACCTGTTTTATTTTTCAGGGATCCAGTCCTCCCTCAGCAGAGCACACCCAGATAAAGCTGCACTTGGGCAGCGACACTCTGACTCTCACCTTCATACTCCCTGCTTAACCTCCACTCTGGTCTCACTGTGCTTCCCTCTCCCACTGTTCCTCACAGCATGGAGGAGTGAAGGAATCCTCCTTCCTCCATGCTGAGGGAACAAGGCAGGAATGAGGAAGATAGAGCAGCTGAGAGCTGGAGGCACATACAGGCCTGGCACGGACTGGGCCAACACCCAGCACCTCCCACCTGAGAGCAGAGGCTGCATGTTGAACATCTCGGCGTTGTAGACCTCCATCTGCCCAGAATCCTTGTCCAACACACCTACAAAGTACCTGGGGAGAACAGGGGCAAGTGATTGGTGGGAACCAGAAATGACTTAAACTACGTGGTCTTCCCACCCCTGCCACTTTTCCTGCCTTGCACATTCGGAATGTGACGATAAACCAAGTTACCTCCAAGGCACGTGTACATACAAAAACATAACATCTCACTGCTCTAAGTAAATGGGCAGCTAAACTAGGTGAAATGTAGGTCCTACCACAGCTCTGAGCCAGGCCAAGGGAAGGGACTAGAAGCTCTGTGTCTGAGCAGTCTCTCTCTGCTCCCAGCTCCTTCTTCCATACCTGCACAGGGAGTTGCACCTCATGACCCCGCTGCCGAAATTGTGCCCCACGTAGCAAAGCCGCTCTGTCTCCGAGACCTGGGAAACCAGGGAAAACTCCTTGAACACAGGGCTGTTGGGGACCTTCCCTGCCTCTGCCTTGGTGCCACCAAGCTCTGCACTCCCAGGAATCATAACTTAAACCCAGACTGTACCAGTATGGCGAGCATGTACAACACCTCACTGTGATCAAGCCTTAATAATTCACATTAAAATGTGATTTTCAATGACCCACTAAAGCTCCAGAGCTGCTGAGCCCCTGTAATTTACCAAGTGAAATCCAGAGCCAGCACAGGAGTGGCTCAGCCACCTAAATCTATTTCCAATGCATTATGACAACGTGTTGGTGTCTCTGCTCTGCCGCAGCGAATTTCTCCCAAGGACTTGGGCAGAAAAGTCACTTATTCCTCGAGGGAAGCAGCTGTAAAGCTTAACAGCAGCAGCAGAAAGCACCTTCTGACTGTACCCTTGTTTCTCTCTCCACAGAGAGACCTTCTCATAATGTAATTTAGCCAGACAAAGACAGCTTTGGTGAAGATTTCCCTGTGTGAACGGAACACAACAGATTCCGTGACCTTTGGCAGGTCTCTGGTCCCTGCTCTGCCTTCCCAACCCCGCAGCTCCACCAGTCACATCAGAGCCAAAACCCCCTCCCAGCCCCAGGGAGCTCCTGGCAGCTGCAAAACATCTCTGTGGCACAGGCTGAGCTGAACTGTGAGAGGTTTTTAAAGAAATCTGCTGCAAAGCTCACCACAGACTTTCACAGAATCATGACTTGATTCTGTGAAAGGATTCTGCAAAGGACCTTAAAGTCCATCCAGTCCCATCCCTTCACATGGGCAGGGACACCTTCCACTATACCAGGTTGCTCCAAGCCCTGTCCAACCTGACCTTGCACACTTCCAGGGATGGGGCAGCCACAGCTTCTCTAGGCAACCTGTGCCAGGGCCTCCCCACCCTCACAGGGAACAATTTCTAGTTCCCACCTGCAGGAGCTGCCTCGACCACGGCCCTAAGGGCAAAAGAGGGTCAAAGCCCTCCAGTGCAGGACTCGTCCGCGGTGGGATCGGCACGGGAATTCCAGATGCAGCTCGTGCCGTGACCTGCAGCAGCCCCGCGTGTGGCCATTGCCCGACTATGGCTGTGACCTGGCTATCACCTTATCGTACATTGCTATCACAGCATTCTTGCAACAAGCGTGGGTAGTGCCTTCCCAAATCTTCGTTCGTGAAGCCTAGCCATGAAGGAATGAAGGAATCATAGCATCTCGGGATGAAGGTGATCTGCCTGCCCGGAGCCGTCCCTGCCCTTCCTAGGGTGGGCCCTTACCAGGATCCTGCGGTGCCTCTTTCGGGGATGCGCCGTGTCCCGGCTCCGGTACACGGTGAAGCGCAGGGACTCGGGGCTCCGCAGCCTCCCGTTGGCGAACCGCACTGTGGGACAGGGACAGGGAGCCCGTGAGTCTCGGGAAGGGCCAGGACCCGCCTCGCGCCCCCAGCCCAGCCCGGCCCCGCTCACCGAGCGCCGCCGGCCGCTCCGCCTCGAGGTCCCCGCGGTAGCGCCAGGTGGCGGCGGCCATGACGAGAGCAGTGAGAGATGAGACAACGTCCAAACTCCGCGTCGCCACCGCCTCCGGCAGCGCCAATAAGCTCATCCCCGATTGGGCGAGGCGGGACGCGGCTGCCACTTATAAATAACGAGGCCATCGGTTGGCTGTGGACTGGGCGCGTGCGGTCGGCGGCCGGAAGTGGCGCCATCGGGCGGCGCGGCGGGCGGGGACGGAGCGGCGGGAGCGGGGCCGGGCCGATCCCGATCCCCATCCCGAACCCATTCCCACGCGGCCCTTCCCGCGCGACCCTTCCCGCACGGACACCGCAGGTGATCGGGAAGGGCGAGGGAGGGGAGGGCGGCGGTGACGTAGGAACTGGTGACCCCCCGGTCGGGGTGGGACCGGGGCTCTCCGGGCTCCTCTTTATGTCCCGTGAGCGGCACAAAGCGGAGTCTCCGGGTGTGTTTTTACCGGTGCTGATGCAGCGCTGGGATGCAGGTGCTGCCCTGAGAGGGACACAGAACTTGTATGTTCCAGGTGAGGCACAAAAGGAAAAAAAGGGGGAGTGAAGGGGAGAAAAGGACGCTGCCTTCAGGAGAGCAGGAGCAGCTCTTGTTATCTTGTTATCTTATTAGCAGTTATTGGACGTTCTGGAGCTTTCAGAGGCTTTAAATCAGTTAATTTCCGAGCCGAGTGTTTCGGGTGGTAACTGGTGAATGATCTCCGTGTCCTGACTCTGTCCGAGGACACACGGTGGGATTGTTGGAGTGTCTGTGCAGGGCCAGGAGTTGGACTCCGTGGTCCTTGCGGGGCCTTTCCAGCTCAGGATATTCAGTGATCCCATAAGGTTTTCCCCTTCCTTGCTCCCCCATCACCCGGAGGAGGAGAAGGAGAAGGAGGAGGGTGAGTGGATCGTTGCACTCTGGGGTTAAAAGCCAGGATTGAGAAGAGAACATGGCTGGGTTGGGTCACAGTGAGGGGCAGCACAGATGTGTGACACGGGGGTGCCACAGTGTCTGTGCCCCCTGAAAGGAGGCACCCGGGGCTGGGAGCAGCATTGTTTTGGGGGTGTGTGTGTTTGACCTCCCCGCAGTGGGTCAGGGCTGCAGTGTAATCATATGTGCCAGTCATGTATTTCCAGGGAATGGAAGCCCAGTGAGTAGAAATTGTGCTGATAAAACCTGAATTCCTGTGGAAAAATCTGCGGTGCGCTTCTTCTCCTACATGATTGTGTCACCATCTGTCCCTTGCCTTATAGGGGATTTTGGGTCGTGTAGGAGAATTAGCCATGACTCTGTGAGCTCTTTCAGAATATAGTTCCAGACACCAACTTCAACAAGAAATGTGGGAATCCAGTGCCTGTAGTTCTTTGACACAGGCCCTAGTCCAGGGACAGGCAGGATAGGATGATTGTTTTCCAGGCAGGATTTTGTAGATGCTTTTTCATTGCTTGCCCTTAAACTTTTCTTGGCTCTGACCATTTGTATTTATAGTAAAACTACTTGTAGCTCAACAGTTTGGTGTGTTGTCTGTTCACTTGTAGGCCTTTGTTTGGCTGTAGAACTGGGCAGTTCCCTCTTCTGTGGGAACAAGATCTCTGCATCACCCTGGAGTCTGTGTGTGTTTGTTCTGGCTCGAGAGCTCCAGCCTTTCTGTGTAGTGAGAGTTAAATACCAAGCGAAATCCATGTTCCTGGAAGCAAAACTGGAGTTTGTCTTGTTTCAGGTGCACAAAGGATGTGATCACTTCTGGTGCCTGTAAGCAAGACTCCCTTGGAATTCTGAAATCCCAAATGATCAGTCAAAACAATGACTCTTCCCTATTTCTTCTGTTCTAAATGTGTGTTGCTGCCTGGGCAGAAGTGCTTGGATGATCTCTGTAACCTACATTCCTTCCTGGGGTCCAGCTTCATTCCTTTTGCTCTGTTTGAAAATGTTGTCTTATTTTTACTCCTGAACACACACTGGCAGTGAAAGATAAATGAATCCACGTATTATTTATGTTCCTGTTTCTTATTTAGAAAAGCAGCAAACACATGTGTGCTTGAGGATGGACTTTCTGAATTGGCAGACTTGCATTTGATCCCTCCTCAAAAGCAAAATTCTGTCTATGTGACCTTTTATTTCAGCTGCTTTATGGTCTCCATTTGTCTAATGGTGCTGTGGTGTTGGTGTTGGAAAATAAATGTGAGCACAGGAATGTGTGTGTTTGCCTTGGTCATGCAGCCTTTCTGCTCCCCAAATCTTACACTTCAATTTTTTTCATGAGAAAGAGTAGAGATATTGCCGGAAGTCACCTCTTCGGTCTTAAGATAAGTTTGGTAAGATATGACTTCTGTTCTATTAATGGACAATCAAGAAAAAGCCACCCCTCAGTCTGTCTAGTTGTCTCATTGAGCAGCGTGTTGTTTTACCAAAAACTTCCTATCACTTCCCTCTCAGCCCTGTGAGGTGAGGATTAAAGTCTAGGAGTTTCCGTGGGAGGTCACTTAATTGTGTGAGCAGTTTATTTGCAAGGGTGCAGCAGGTTATTTGCAATCAGATCTCTTTACAAACCAGGGTAAATGTTTTACTAGTGAGTTGTTTTAGTTTGGACAGATGCTGACAGGGACGAGATGATCTGTGTTGTTTGGTTTGCAGCACTGTGACATGGTTGGTGCTGAGGTCAGCTCTGTGGCAGAACCTGGATTTCCTTCCTTCTCCTCCTCCTTTTGCTCCTCCTTCTCCAGACTGCCAGCTTTGATCCTGTAACTGTGTGGTGTGGCAAATTCAGATCGGTTAGTGTTTGTCAGTCTTTCAGCTGTCATCTTTCCTCTTTAAACCCAGGTTTGCTGCAGCCTGACTGTGACCTTCAACCATGGAATCACAGACTGGTTTTGGTTGAAAGGGACCTTAAAGTCCGTCTCTGTCCTGTTATCCCAGGTTGCTCCAGGCAACCTGTCCAACCTGGCCTCAAACACTTCAGGGATAGGGCAGTCACAGCTTCTGAGGGCAACCTATGCCAGGGCCTCACCACCCTCACAGGGAAGAATTTCTTCCTAATATCTAAGCTAAGACTACTCTCTTTCAATTTGATCCCATTCCCCTTTGTCCTGTAACTCCAGGCCCTTGTAAATAGTCTTGGCCCATCTCTCTTGTAGGCCCCTTCAGCTACTGGAAGGCCCATTTAGGTCATCCTGAAGCTTTTCTTCTCCAGGCTGAACAGTTCCAATTCACTCAGCCTTTCCCTGCAAGAAAGCTACTCCATTCCACTAATCAACTTGGTGGCCCATATAATGGTTTCTTCTGTTTTGTAGGATCATGGATTTTCCAGGACACTTTGAGCAAGTCTTCCAGCAGCTCAATTACCAGAGGCTCCATGGCCAGCTCTGTGACTGTGTCATCGTGGTGGGGAACAGGCACTTCAAAGCCCACCGCTCCGTGCTGGCCGCGTGCAGCACCCACTTCCGAGCGCTGTTCACGGTGGCTGAGGGGGACCAGACCATGAACATGATCCAGCTGGACAGCGAGGTGGTGACAGCCGAGGCCTTCGCCGCGCTCATCGACATGATGTACACGTCCACGCTCATGCTCGGGGAGAGCAACGTGATGGACGTGCTGCTGGCCGCGTCCCACCTGCACCTCAACTCCGTGGTGAAGGCCTGCAAGCACTACCTGACCACGCGGACGCTGCCGCTGTCGCCGCCGAGCGAGCGCGCGCAGGAGCAGAGCGCGCGCCTGCAGCGCTCCTTCATGCTGCAGCAGCTGGGGCTCAGCATCGTCAGCTCCGCGCTGGGCTCCTCGCAGGGCGCCGAGGAGCCGCCCGGCTCCGTGCGGAGCGGCCTGGAGCAGCGCGCCACCTTCCCCATGCGCCGCCTGCACAAGCGCAAGCCGCCCTCCGAGGAGCGTGCCCGGCAGCGTGTCCGGCCTGCCGTGGACGAGCCCGGGACTGACGTGGCCGCAGAGGGCGGGCAGCCCGTCCACTCGCGCGAGGATTTCTTCTCTCCGGACTCGCTGAAGATCGTGGACAACTCCAAGGCTGACACTGTTGGTGATAACCAGGAGGACAACACAATCATGTTTGACCAGTCTTTCGGTGCTCAGGAGGATGCTCAAGTGCCTAGCCAGTCGGACAACGGCGGGGCAAACATTTCCCAGATGTCCATGGCGTCCCAGGCCACACAAGTGGAGACCAGCTTTGACCAGGAGGCTGCTGCTGAAAAGAGCAACTTCCCATGTGAGAATCCGGAGGTCAGCCTGAACGAGAAGGAGCACATGAGGGTGGTGGTGAAGTCTGAGCCCTTGAGCTCCCCAGAGCCCCAGGATGAGGTGAGCGACGTCACCTCCCAGGCAGAGGGCAGTGAGTCTGTGGAGGTGGAAGGAGGAGTGGTGAGTGCAGAGAAAATCGAGCTGAGTCCTGAGAGCAGCGACCGCAGCTTCTCTGACCCACAGTCCAGCACTGACAGGGTGGGAGACATCCACATCATGGAGGTGTCCAACAACCTGGAACACAAGTCGTCTTTCAGCATTTCAAATTTTCTGAATAAAAGCAGAGGCAGTGGCTTTGGAGCCAGCCAAAACAGTGACGACAACATTCCCAACACCACCAGTGACTGCAGGATGGACAGCGACACCTCTTACCTGATGAGCCCCGAGTCGGGGCCCGCTGGTGGCCACTCGTCCGCCACTGTCTCCCATGTGGAGAACCCATTTAGTGAGCCCGCGGACTCCCACTTTGTGAGGCCCATGCAGGATGTGATGGGTCTGCCCTGTGTGCAGACCTCTGGGTACCGGGCAGCGGAGCAGTTTGGCATGGACTTCCCACGCTCAGGCCTGGGCTTGCACTCGCTGTCCCGGGCCATGATGGGCTCGGTGAGAGGCGGAGCTGGTGGCTTTCCTGGCTACCGCCGCATCGCCCCCAAAATGCCGGTGGTGACCTCTGTGCGGGGCTCCCAGCTGCAGGAGAGCTCGTCTGGGTCCCAGCTGCTGATGAACGGGAGCACGTCCTTCGAGAGTGGGCACCTGTCGCAACCCGGCCCCCCGCAGCTCACCAGGGCGTCTGCGGATGTGCTGTCCAAGTGCAAGAAGGCGCTGTCAGAGCACAACGTGCTGGTGGTGGAGGGCGCACGCAAGTACGCCTGCAAGATCTGCTGCAAGACCTTCCTGACGCTCACGGACTGCAAGAAGCACATCCGCGTGCACACGGGGGAAAAACCCTACGCCTGCCTCAAGTGCGGGAAGCGCTTCAGCCAGTCCAGCCACCTCTACAAACACTCCAAGACCACCTGCCTCAGGTGGCAGAGCAGCAACCTGCCCAGCAGTTTGCTCTAAGGCACTGCCCCGGGGCTGCTGCGGTGGGGCCGGCGGACGCTGCCGTGCGGTGGTGCCACACACACAGAGCCTCGGCTCTGCCATTGGGGATATCCGGTACCTACCTCGCGGGGTGTCGCGGGCTCAGCCGCCCGCCGGGAGCTGCGCAGCAGGCATGGGGATGTGACCCCCCACAGCGAAGCACCCCCTTTGCAGGGCAGAGGGGTGACAGTGTGGGGATCTCATGAAATAGCACGTTTAGAGAACAAGAAACTGAAGTGCAAATTTCATTTTTGTTGTTGTTTTTTTTTTTTTTCTCTAAAGCATTTTGTAACAGTGAAAGCATTTAAATAATTATTGTAACATGAATTGCTGCATTATGTGTGGACAGTAGCGCAGACCACTTACCTTTAAAAGAGAAAAACAGCTTTGGCTGCACCTGTCTGACATAATGCTTTCAAATATGCTAATTATAACAATAGTTCTAGGATTATGAATGTATGTTTGGCTGTTTTGTAGTAAAGAACACTGTGTAATCAAGGTGCTTAAATTAAATACCAGACAAGTAACTTTTGGACTGCCAGGTGTACATATAACTTTAATACAGGAAGATCTGGATGTTTGGCTGACTTTTTTTTTCCCGTAGAAACATGTATTAAGTGATAAGTGAAGTACTGTCTCTTGTTTGTGCTATTCCTAGCAGTATTTTAACCAGTTCGTATCTCCTATGTTACAATTCTATATAGGCAGGAGTCTGAACAGAGCTTGTCTGTTGTTTTGAAGGAGGGAGGTAATTTGTAATGGCTTTTTCTGCCGTGTAAGACAGTCTCCCTCTGTTTCCAGATGCCAGCAGTCCATCTGGTCCTCGTTACTGTGTGAGCATGTTGTCCTTCTCTCTTATCTCCGGGCTTTAATTTCCTCCTCTGCACAGTTACTGACTTCCCTTCACAGCTGTGGATTGTTCCTCAGATTGAACTGTCAGAAACAATCCTCATTTGCCATATCTCATAGAATCACAGAATATCTTGAGCTGGAAGGGACCCATCAGGATCACTGAGTCCAGCTCCTGGCCCTGCACAGGACACCCCAAGAATCCCACCATGTGCCTGAGAGCGTTGTCCAAACATTTCTTGAACTCAGACAGCCTTGTGGGGCTGTGCCCACTGCCCTGGGGAGCCTGGTCAGTGCCCAACCAGCCTCTGGGGGAAGAACCTTTTCCTGAGATCCAACCTAACCCTGCCCTGACACAGCTCCTGAGTCCTGTCACTGGTCCTGAGAGGGAACAGATCAGTGCTGCCCCTCTGGGGGATGTTGAAGACCCCAGTGAGGTCTCACCTCAGTCTCCTCCAGGCTGAGCAAACCAAGGGCCCTCATCCGTTCCTCATAAGGCTTCCCCTCTGGACTATTCTACGTCCTCATGGCCTCATTTGGATGCTCTGTAGTGGCTTCATGTTGTTTTTATATTGTGGTGCCCAAACTGCCCCAGTGTTGAGGTGAGGCTGCCCCAGGGCAGAGCAGAGCGGGACAATCCCCTCCCTGGCCCGGCTGGCCATGCTGGGCCTGATGCCCCCCAGGACACAGTTGTCCCTCCTGGCTGCCAGGGCACTGCTGACTCATATCTCTCAATAAAATGTCATTGTCAAATCCAGGCCTTCTGCTTAAACTAGTGTCATAAAAGTACTTTTCTACATAAGCTAAAACAACCTAATGTTTAATTTTAAAAAATAGCACTGTACCCTTTGGGTAGTGGAAATTTGTCATTCTCCATGTGAGATGTGTAAAGCTCATTTTAATTTCCTATTCTTTGATGCCATTGTAACTTAATACTGCCTGCAGGCTCCTTTTTTCCTTGTCACCGGTGCACACAACCTGGTGTTCAGCATCTTTAGCTTTTTAAACAAACTTTTGGAGCACTTCTGCTGATGATAAAAGCTGCTCAGCTGTGCAGAAGCTGGATCAGGACAGAGACAGAGGATTCCCTGCAGCTGTCAGTGTGTCATTTGCACTTGAGCATCTGAAGTAAACAGGAACGTGGAAACACAGGGGATGGTTGGATTAATTCCTTTAAAATGTTAAGACTTTGCTATAGGGTTTACTTAATGGTTGTATTTCTGGCTCTTGATTTTTTTTTTAAGCATTAAAAAAATGCAGTTTTTTAAAGCATTGGGATACACTGTGTTTTGTTTGATAATAATCTGAGTATCGGGGACTAACAGCATTAAGCTGCATAAACACTCACTCAAGCATCAATAAAATGCAGTATTTTGTACTTTAATATTTTCTTGTGTTGCTTGCATTTCTGCTGTTTTCATTCTTAAAAACAAGGTGTGGGGTTTTTTGGCGTCACATCCAAATTTCTTGAATTCTTATGCCGCATAGGAATAAGGCACCTGTGTGACCAAGATGACTAATTAGGAACTAATATAAGCAGATAAACACTTGACTTATGAACTGTTTTTATAAAAATTTTAATGTGGAATGACAGTGCAGGAGGACTTCTTTCTCTGAGAAAAAGTTTGACTTGGAGCGTTTTTGGAAGCAGAAGCTTTAAATTTCATTGTCCATTGACACCCTGTGCCTGTGGAGAGGCCTGGAGCCTATGGCTGCTGAGCTGCTTCCCGAGTCTTCCCAAATGAAGCAATAAATTCCTGGGAATGGCATGAATAAATACCTAGGACCTGAGCTGTCCCCTCTCTACGCGAAGGGTGTCTCACCTTACAGCCTGGAGAGCTTATTGCCCCGAATTCCACTCAGAATTGAACTTTACACAGTGGGGTCTTGTGTGGAGGGTTCAGTGTGTCGGTGTTCTGAAACATCCTGAAATAAACCCTGCATTTTTGTGCTCCTGTGTCTGATTGGATTCACTGGTTTGTTGCTCTTCACACCAGCCTATACAGAAATACTCGTGGTTGTAAAAGTGATTGTAAAAGCCTGTACTTGATAATAATTTTGTCCCTTGTAGAGTTCTTCATAAGAACTTCTTAGTATGTTTGTTACTGAAATAGTGTTAATATCTACACAGCATCCATCAAGTTTGTGATCCATGGTCACTGCTACTCTCTGAATTCCTTGTGGGAGGATAGATGCAGGTGGAGGAGGTGCTTGTCTTGAAGGAGTTCTGGGATGGACACCTGAGATGTGGTCCAGTCCCTCTGGCAGGTGATTTACCAGCTTTTGCCTATTTCTTAACATACCTGGGGAATCTGACACCAGGTCATTCCCATTCACTGCTTGCATCATCAGGGGTCACAGTAACCTTTTGGGTGTTTGGTCAACATTTCTCAGCATCACAGTAACATCACCACCAGCAGAATCTTCAGTGTCAACACCCAGAAATTTTGGAGATGAGCAAACTCCCCCGTTGGACTCATGCCCTGGGTTTTCACACCAAAGTAAATTCCAATTTCTTTTGGGTCAGTTGGAAACTCCCCAGCCAGTTGGGATGCTCGACTCCCTCCCTTACCACAGCCACGAGCCTGCCCTGATCAGCCCAGGTTAGAAACCTCCAAAACTCACTCTAGTGGACCATCACATGGCAATCAGCTGGGATTGTGAATCAAAACTTACTGATAAAGGTGTCAGAATCCCTCCGAGGTGTGGCACAGCCATTACTGCTATCAGAGAGCACTTTATGTAGCATCCAGAGAAATTCCAGCAGAGTCCAGCATGAGGGACCCTTGTCATGGGACAGAAGCACAGAGTGTACTAGGTGAGCTTTAATTACCATCACAGGCTTTGTGCTGTGTTCTGGCTCCCTCCCTGCACCAGGTTTATGGTCCCACCAGCTGCTGCTCCCCAACCCGGCGCACTTCCCTTGTGCCATTGCAGACCCCTCCCTTCTTCCCTCCCTCCCTTTCCCCTACTGTTGGCCTCTCACTGTGACCAGCAACCAGGTTTTGAGGACAGGTGCTGCCACAGCAGCTCCCTTGTGGTACAGCCCACACCAGTGAGCAGAACAGAGAGGAGTTCCAACAGGGCAAGTGTTCCCCAAATCAGACCCAAACCCCAATCCATGGCCTGCTGGGACCCGCAGCCCCCACCCACCCACAGTGTGCTCTCCCACATGCTCGGGGAACCCGGTTCTCAAATGACACGAGCACCACACGTTCCCTGCTGCTCTTTAATGACTCCTGGCTGCGGCAGAGGGGAGGGGCCAGGCTGGCCTGTCCCGCCGCACCACGGGGGCTGTCACAGCTTCAGCTCGTGGGGCATGGGCTCCCCCCGCAGCCCGGCCAGCAGGTTATTGGCTGCCAGCACTGCCATGGTGCTCCTCGTGGCGTACGTGGCGCTCCCGATGTGCGGCAGGATCACTGCGGGGACAGGAGGGACACCCATCACCTTCGCGGGCCGGGACAGCCCCTTTCAGGGTTGTCGGAGGTACAATACACATGTATGTGTTATTTACAAATTAATAAACAATTAGTATTACTATTATAATTTACATATTTAATTAATACATATGTGTTAATTTTGTCCTGCTTGGTGTTGTTCCAGAGCTCTCAAATCTCCCAAGTCCTGCAAATTTTTCCAGAAAAGTCTCTGCTTCCATCCCTCCCCACGCTGTCTACTTTGGCAACCAAAGGAAACAAATAAAAAATGAGTTTTAGCAAAAAGATAAATGAAAAAAAACAGCTACGGATTCATATTTCATAAACAGACACTCAATCAAGGGCAGTTCCAAGTTTTCATGGATGTCCCCATGGTTTCTTTTTGGAATAGACATTCCCTACTCCAGGAATGTCCTTCCTGGAAAGAGGACATCCTGCACAACAGCAGCCAAGCAAGCCCCTTCTTAGCTATCCTTCCTCACCTGACTCCTCCTCCAGAGAAGACAGGTGTCAGTCCTGCACCTGCCCTTCCCACCTGCTCCGCACTATGCAGGTAACAGCTGGCTGGGCTTGTGGTGGCTCAGCAGGTTGGCCAGCTCGGCAGGTTGGCCAGTCGGCAGCACTCCAGAGCCCGAGACTCCTCTGGGCAGACTCGGCAACCCACTTTAGCCATCTGGGAAGCTTTCCTAGCAGAATACGTGCCCAGGAGCTTACAGAACACCTGAGCTGGGCAGAGCCTGAGCTGCGATTTGGGTTCCTGTTCAGGCACGTGCTGGTATTGGGCGCTCCGTGAATTTCATACACTGAATGGAGACCCACCGGGAAGGTGCTAAACCTGAGTTGATATTGGCAGCTTTCTGGAGAATTAAAACAGCTCCCACACTTGTTTGACATTACATGGATGAGTTCTTACCCCACAGCAGACCCCCACATTGTATAGGAGCTCCCTACAGCCTAATTAAATATACCTGACTTGCCTGTCCTTCCACGCTTCCCTGGCACCAGAGGGGTAACAGGGACAAGGGATGCCTGTCACACTTGCCAGTGGGCCCCTGAGGAGTGTGGGCAGCCTGGCAGAGCCGAGCTCTGGCCACCCTTCTGGACACTTACCACAGTTCTTGAGGGAGAGCAGAGGGTGGTCAGTGGGCAGTGGCTCTGGCGTGGTAACATCCAGGCCGGCAGCTGCGATCTGGCCCTGGGCCAGTGCATCATACAGGTCCTCCTGGTTCACCACGGCCCCCCTGGAGAACATGAGAGAGGCTGGCATCACTGCCAAGGGTCCCACAGGCTCCCAGGGCCACAGCCCACCTGGGACAGCCCAAGCGGGTCCCCAGGGCTGCCTGATGGAGCTCAGACCCTCTCTGGATGTGCCTGAACCTCTCAGCACAGCGAGCTGTTCCTGCTCCAGCTGCCTGCAGTGGGGG